TCTCCCACAGTCCAAACCAGTCTGACAGTGGAGTGCAATTCCTTCCTGACCCCAAATATGGTCTGACCCTGAGCAGTGGGGCAAGACCCTGTGGCAAGGAACCTCTAAGTCCCAGAAGAAGCACTGCCACACCCCACTCCAAATCCCAACCCTGGGTTTCAGCAAACACCCAATGTCTCTGAGAAAGGGTTAAAAACAACAACAACAAAAAACCCTGATGTAGCAGGAAAAAGGGGAAAATTCCTTCTTGGCTCCACAGGGAAACCAAAGCCCAGAAGCGTGGGAAATGCCCAAGGTAGAATATAGACGTAGCTACATCTTGATCATCCCTGAAAATCCTTATCCAGTCTCTTCTCAAACACTTCCAGTGATGCAGAGTCCACAACTTCCCTAGGCAGTCTATTCCACTGCCTCACCTACTTTTCTGCAACTTGACCCACTGGTCCATGTCTCTCTGTAGCAAGAGAGAAAAGGTGTTTTCCCTCTTTTTTATGGCATCCCTTCAGGTATTTGAAGACTATTGTTACTCTGTTCCCACCACTTGCTCATGTTCACCCTCTAACCACCTGGCCTCCTCTGACCACAGTCACACAGTGAGGTGTGTCTGGACAAAGACAATAGGTCATGAATGAATATGTTTGCCAATATGTCATCTTTAGCCTGTTTCTAAATAGGAATGTAGATCATGTTTAAGACATTTTAACATTGGCCAAGAAGAGTTGATTTTATTCTTTTCTCTAAGAATGACCACAACTAAATGACATGGATTTAAAAGTATTAAAAGCTTATCTAAACCACTGATTAGAAATATGCTATTTTAAATGTTTTAGGGAACGTTCTTTTTAAATATGTCCTATTTTCCTAGATGCAGAGGGCAAAAGCTAGTGGCTGATGGCAGCCAAGATTCAAATAAACAAACAAAAAGGTCTTCTCTTCATGCAGAAGTTGAAGTTGTGCCACTACTCTAGATTTGCTTTCAAGCTGGTTGAGTTATAGTAGTTTAGTCTCTATGTAGACACTCTTTTTATCTGGTAACATATTCTCAGTCAACCTCAGGAAATGTCATTGGCCTGTTTTAAACCATCAGACCACTTTTAGTTCAAGAAGCCTGTTGTGTATTTGTCTAAGTTTCAAGTGTGGTCCAAATATAGAGCACTTTCTAAATCTCAGCAGGGAGATTGCTCTCTGCAGAAGCTGCTAGCTTACCAAACTGAGGCAGTGTTCAGGCAAGGGAGGGGGTGCATCGTGCCGCCAAGTGCAGAATGCTGTAAGGATGTAGTCAATGCTGGCAAAGATCCTGTTGCCTAGAGCAGCGTCACAAACAATGGAAACAGCCCTAGCAAGGAAAGCCCTTCGTGGGGACTAGGGCACCAGTTGGATCTCCGTGTAGGGCTGTGCAAGTAACGGAAAGTTTCCGTTTAGCTCCCAGGTTGAAAAACTGTTTTGGATCAAATAAAATTTGTATTTGCTCCTGATGAACATGAAAAACAAAACAACCCTTCCCCCCCCCCCCCCCCCCC